GCTACCAGGAAGGCAAATTGGACTGACGGAGAGCTGCTTTCACTTGTGGAAGCAGCTCAGTCCGTGATTGAAATAATCAACGGGAAATTTAGTTTGTTTCTTACACATAATAAGAAAAAAAAGTGTCGGGTGTCAGTCACAGAGCGGTATGTATCGAACAACTTTTTTTTGCAGTCTCTTTTCCATTTTTCCGTTTAAAAATAATCGTTTTGCTTTTCTTCACCGAAGGGAGATAACGCATAATTAACAGGAAATAGAATTAATTATGACAGTTTATTTCATGCTTTCCAGTGTTTTATTGTAATATATCAGATGTAATATATCAGATGATTATATTCTGATAAACCACTAGTGAAATTTATAAAATATAATTTTCACAGTAGCCGGACTATATCTGAATGCGGATGAATAGAAAATCATAACGAAAAGGAATAACAGGCAGAAATAAATGCTGTCATGCGTAAATTTTGCTTCTTCAGGAAAAGAAAGTCGATGTCACCATACATCATATTAAAAATGTAACAAAATTAGACTAAATTTAACAGAACTATTACATGTGTTTCAATTATCAATTTACAGAAAAAACCATGAGCAGGGAGAAGAGACGGGGTATTTGCAGCAGTAAGTATTTATCTGTCTCATGTATTGTAAATAAATTATCTTCTATTCTCTAATAATCTATCGCAATTATATAAATTTGAATGTAATATGAAATTAGGCAATGCCTATGAACGGGGAAGTCGTTAAAAATTCCTTTCATTCTTTCCGTTTTAAAGGTGTCATTCGGTATTACATGCACCGCTTCCGTTTTCACTCGGAACACTCGACGATTATCATTTATCCGAAAAGTTGAGATTTGTTCCGTTATCGGAATACCCCGCCTATTATCATTGAGTTACATTGTAAATGGCGGCGCCCGACTAGAACTGACACTGAAAATTTCATTGATAGGTATAGAATTCTATATATTTTTTAATTGTTTTTTATTTGATTTTCTTTTAAATATACACGTGTAGTCTACAGCCGGGCAAGCCAAAGCCCGGGCCCGCTTCGCGGGCCCGGTCTTTGACTTCCCCGTATAATTATTGCATTCTTTAAATCAACCAGTATCAGAAAATGTAATGCATGCAAAGTTAAAATCTAAGCAAAATAGTATTAGCTCATTACATTTTTTTTGTAACAGGAAACAATCAGTGATATCATGACTCTACCATGTATGTAGTACAATAAATGCTCATTTGCATTCTTCTGTGCAAGAAGTCACACTCATTGCCATTATTGTTATGAACTGTTATTTATTAGACAGACACTCATTTTATTTAGCAATAAAATAAGTGTTTAGGATAAATTACTTCCTATTGGAAACATGTGATTTTAAATCTTTTCTCTTTTAAATGAGAAACATGATGAATTTAGTCTAATATGACGTATCTTAGACTGTAGACATCTTGCCTAAAGTCATACAGGGCTGTTCAGTTTAGCAGTTTAATGGTTAAAAGTCAATTTTAATGTAAGACATCAGTTTGAAATGTATATTGACAAATTATTAGAACTAAATTGATTTGTGCAATAAACTTCTTGTTGAATTATGGATTTTTAACCTCAGCTGAAGATGTACAGAAGAGGCGCTTCTTGGAAATTGAGGAGGAAAAGCTGGCCTTGGCAAGGGAGACCTTGGAATTGAAGAAAAGAAAAGTACAGCTTCTGGAGGAGAGTGTTTCTTTCCAGAAGAGAACTGCAGAAGCTGTAGAGTCAATGCTGCATATTTTGCGTGATAAACAAATTGAAGGCTTATTAAGTAATACTCTACTTGAATGTTAGTGAAAGTGTTTACACATTTTTCATCCCCTATTGTTCTTACAGAAGTGGAAAAAATGTGCAAACACTTTCATGGAAATAGACACCAGCTATCTGAACACCATATATATATATTTTGACTGTATTGAAACATTTTCAAGAGATAGAGGATATTTGTTTGTTTGTGTGTAAGATAAATTTTAATTCATTGAGTGAGCTTTCAAAACAGTACTCTCACAAGTGCCATAGAACACTGTTTTTTAAAGTTCACAAGATGAAATAAAATAGCATCTTAGTAAACAAACAAACAAATTTTCTTCTTCTTTTATGCTTAAATACAAGTTTAAATGAAATGTCTTTAATATTAACTTTACTATTAAAATCTGCTTTCCCCACTGGGAGTCAAATTTTTCATTAGATACAAGAAGTCTTTACCTGAAAAAAAGTTAGACTATCAACCTTAAATGGCGATGATATTATTTATTTTATTCAAAAAATATGAATGAATCTTTTTATCTTTCTTAAGATCTTAATACATTTTTCTAAAGATTGAATTTCTTAAAATATTTGGCTCATGTGGAGGTGTTACTATGTATAGAAACAAAATTGCCTATGTTATCAAGTGATTTTGAGTGTCATGTGACTGATTATGAGTATTCCGCCTAGGGCCAATGAGTAACTTCTTGGAAATCGTTTATATATATATATATATATATATATATATATAGAAATGAGAGAATATATACACACATACCACCACATCGATATGCCAGTCCAATTACGGCACAGCGCCTAGCAGTACAGTCATGAAAACATAGCCACTGGTCATCCACCATCACAAAATGATGGTTTCAGAACAGCTTTATATACAGTCACAAACTGCACTACACATTGAAACAGATCAACATTCACATATATAGAGTTTGTTCTCTGTTATCATGTCTCACAAATCAACGATGACATTTTTATTGTCTTCTTCACTGATTGGGACCAGAGAAACTATATATCTATTTCCGAAAGTCAACTGGATCACGTAAGATCAAGTAGATCCGTAGGATACAATGAATTTAGACAGATAAAGTAAATATAAAGGGAGATAATTAAATTCAATACAGTTATACTTTCCCCTGCGTGGGATCACTTAAGATACAAGTGTGCAGATAAATTGATAGAAATGAGAGAATATATACACACATACCACCACATCGATATGCCAGTCCAATTACGGCACAGCGCCTAGCAGTACAGTCATGAAAACATAGCCACTGGTCATCCACCATCACAAAAATGATGGTTTCAGAACAGCTTTATATACAGTCACAAACTGCACTACAAATTGAAACAAGCTCAACATTCACATATATAGAATTTGTTCTCTGTTATCATATCTCACAAATCAACGATGACATTTTTATTGTCTTCTTCACTGATTGGGACCAGAGAACTATATATCTATTTCCGAAAGTCAACTGGATCACGTAAGATCAAGTAGATCCGTAGGATACAATGAATTTAGACAGATAAAGTATATATAAAGGGAGATAATTAAATTCAATACAGTTATACTTTCCCCTGCGTGGGATCACTTAAGATACAAGTGTGCAGATAAATTGATAGAAATGAGAGAATATATACACACATACCACCACATCGATATGCCAGTCCAATTACGGCACAGCGCCTAGCAGTACAGTCATGAAAACATAGCCACTGGTCATCCACCATCACAAAAATGATGGTTTCAGAACAGCTTTATATACAGTCACAAACTGCGCTACACATTGAAACAAGCTCAACATTCACATATATAGAGTTTGTTCTCTGTTATCATATCTCACAAATCAACGATGACATTTTTATTGTCTTCTTCACTGATTGGGACCAGAGAACTATATATCTATTTCCGAAAGTCAACTGTATCCTACGGATCTACTTGATCTTACGTGATCCAGTTGACTTTCGGAAATAGATATATAGTTCTCTGGTCCCAATCAGTGAAGAAGACAATAAAAATGTCATCGTTGATTTGTGAGACATGATAACAGAGAACAAACTCTATATATTTGAATGTTGAGCTTGTTTCAATGTGTAGTGCAGTTGTGACTGTATATAAAGCTGTTTCTGAAACCATCATTTTTGTGATGGTGGATGACCAGTGGCTATGTTTTTCATGACTGTACTGCTAGGCGCTGTGCCGTAATTGGACTGGCATATCGATGTGGTGGTGTGTGTGTATATATTCTCTCATTTCTATCAATTTATCTGCACACTTGTATCTTAAGTGATCCCACGCAGGGGAAAGTATAACTGTATTGAATTTAATTATCTCCCTTTATATATATATATATATATATATATATATATATATATATATATATATATATATATATATATATATATATATTTAAAAACGTTGTGTTAGTCTCCTCCTCTGTTCAAACGCATCCCTGCTACAATTCTGTACGATTTCTTGATTGTTGTCAACAACAATGCTGTCAGTATTAGGATTTGGAAGATTTAAGTCCAGCGCCATATTGTGCAGTTTGAAACATGACTCTATAATTTTAACACACTTGTTTGGTCTGTATGGAAGTGCACCTCCAGTTTTGTGAAGACATCTGCAAAATGTATCATGCAAAAAATATAGTCATTTTTCAACGAAATTTGAATAATTTTATTATTACAGTTTCACATTTGTAGATAATATATATCAGTTTATAGCAAGTGAATGATTTTTATATGCCCACCATCAAAGAAGAGGTGGTATATTGTTTTGCTAATGGCAGTCGGTCTTGTCTGTCCGTTGGTAGATCACATGCTTTTTGCTGATTATCTTAAAAACTATTTTTCACAAAGTTTTCATATTTCACATACTGTAATGTCAAAACGGTTTTCACTCAATATCTTGAAAATTATTTATCACTTAGTATTTAAATTTCACATATTGATAGGTCATGACTAGTAGATGACCCCTATTGATTTTAGGGTCCTTAGGTCAATGGACCTTTAAAGTTAGAATTGTTTCCACTCATTATCTTCTATACTTCTTATTATCTTGAAGTATGAAGTCTTGGTGATTCATATTTTAATTTATCAATACTAGTAGAAGACCACTACTGATTTGATGTCATTAGGCATAATAACCTTGAATGTTAAAATGATAATTCTTTTTTCTTTATTTATAACTGTTTTTATCACAAGAACATGCCATGTAGATAAAGTGAAATTTACCTGAAGCGGGCTTTCAGAAGAGCAAAAGACCTTTCAATAACGCATCTTGTTGCCATGTGCGCTTCATTGAAACGCCTCTCCTGTTCGGTATTCACATTCAGTAGCGGAGTTATCAGCCATTTCTTCAATGGATAGCCGGAGTCCCCTAACAGCCAGCCATTGTTAGTTGATTCAAATATGCCTGGCAGTGTTGAATTTGCTAATATAAAAGCGTCATGTGTACTGCCAGGCCACCGTATAACTGCATTTATGTACCTTAAAACAATATTGAGTAACTGATATTAAGTTAATCAAATAAATGTTATATGTGTGAGTTCATTGGCCTTTGAACAGCCTTTTAAGAGCTTTACATGTTACAGGCGTGGGTTACGTTTAAATACAGATGCACTGTAGAAAAAAGAACTGCACAGTAGATATTTTTGAACTGGATTTAAGAGTATGATAAAATTTGCATGTTAGATTATACAGTAGTAAGAGCTTTAAGAGGAAACATTACAATGTTAAGAAAGACCCATTGAGAATTTTTTTTAGTTTTATTTACCTCATATTTGCATCACATACTGCTTGCACATTTATGGCATGGTATCCTTTGCGACATACAAATATGGGTTCCTCTGCCCCTGGTGGTGCCATAATGGGTAAAAGGGTGCCATCAATGCACCCAATTACATTGGGGAAGCGGGCAATTTGATGAAACCTCTGTTTGTTTATTGCTGCTTGAGTGTGATCTGGCATCTTAATGTTGTTAACCTTATTACAAATGGTCTCACATACTCTTCCAACAATTCTGCTACTGGATGACTTTGAAATGCCATGCAGGTCACTTGTTTCAGATAAGTAATCCCCTTTCGCCAGAAATCTGAGGGTGGTCAGCACCTAAATATAGAATGTATATACATCAAAGATATGTACTTAATGCATAACATCTGATTTTTTATAAATTTTAAATGAACTAATTGAATCTGTAGTTAAGATTCAACTTTTTTTACCTCAACTTTTTTTTTTGAAGAAAAAAGTAGAGGTTTTGTTATAGTCTTGGCGGCGTTGCCATCCGCAAACTTGTACCTGAATCATAACTTTTTGTGCCCCTACGTTAGTGGCGGGCATTTAGATTTACCCTTGTCCGTCCGTCTGTCCGTCCTTTCGTCCGTCCTTCCGTCCGTTCACTTTTGTGTCGCACGTAACTCAAAAGTATTTGACCTAGAGTCATGAAACTTTACAGGAATGTTGATCAGCATGTGTAGTTGTGCACCTGGGTATTTTCGTCTGGATATTTTTAGTATTTTTAGAGTTATTGCCCTTGACTTAGTAAAATTTTGCAATTTTCAACTTGTGTCGCATGTAACTCAAAAAGTATTTGACCTAGAGTCATGTTACTTTACAGGAATATTGATCAGCATGTGTTGTTGTGCACCTGGGTATTTTCGTCTGGATATTTTTAGTATTTTCAGAGTTACTGCCCTTGACATAGTAAAGTTTTGCAATTTTCAACTTGTGTCGCACGTAACTCAAAAAGTATTTGACCTAGAGTCATGTTACTTTACAGGAATATTGATCAGCATGTGCAGTTGGGCACCAGGTATTTTTGTCTGGATTTATATAGTATTTTTAGAGGTATTGCCCTTCACTTAGAAAATTTTGCAATTTTCAACTTGTGTCGCATGTAACTCAAAAAGTATTTGACCTAGAGTCATGTTACTTTACAGGAATATTGATCAGCATGTGTTGTTGTGCACCTGGGTATTTTCGTCTGGATATTTTTAGTATTTTCAGAGTTACTGCCCTTGACATAGTAAAGTTTTGCAATTTTCAACTTGTGTCGCATGTAACTCAAAAAGTATTTGACCTAGAGTCATGAAACTTTACAGGAATGTTGATCAGCATGTGTAGTTGTGCACCTGGGTATTTTCGTCTGGATATTTTTTAGTATTTTGAGAGTTATTGCCCTTGACTTAGTCAAATTTTGCAATTTTCAACTTGTGTCGCACATAACTCAAAAAGTATTTGACCTAGAGTCATGTTACTTTACAGGAATATTGATCAGCATGTGCAGTTGGGCACCAGGTATTTTTGTCTGGATTTATATAGTATTTTTAGAGGTATTGCCCTTCACTTAGAAAATTTTGCGATTTTCAACTTGTGTCGCAAGTTACTCAAAAAGGATTTGGCATAGTCATTAAACCTTATGGGCAGGTTGCTCAGCATATTTAGATTTGCACCTGGGGTTTCGCTTGTGGATTTATCCAGTATTTCTTGAGTTATTTCCCTTGACTTAGTAAAAAGATTCACAGAACAGTGGCGCGGTGGGGGCACCCGTGTCCTATGGACACATTTCTAGTTTTGGTTTGTGGTGTATTGTCTTTATACTTGGCCACAACAACCCTTTGGACAAGAGCTTTTGGTAGACCACACTAACCTTGACCTTTATCCATAAGTGACCTTGACCTTCCATGTCAAATGTCTAAATTTTGCTATTATTGGCTGTAACTTTATCTATGAATGGATTGTCTTCAAACTTTAACATAGTAATCTTCAAGGGTAGCCCTTTATAATAAGCAGGCAGACATTTACCTTCACTCATAAATGACCTTGACTTGATGTGCAAACATTTCTTTGTTTGCTCATAGAAAAAGTAAAAAGTCGAGCGTTACCCCGCCCGGCGGTGGCTCTTGTTATGAGTGTATATTTATTAACTGGTATTAATGTTGGAGTTAATATGCATCTAAGGGGCTCGCATAATATGATTTTATTCAACTTGTACAATAAAACCAGTATTAAACCTACACTTGCCCAATAGCCACTATTTATTATGTACTTATAAATTAAATGTTCAGAAATATCAATGAAATAAAATCTGAATTTACATTTTCTGTATTTTAGCTGCAAAAACATTAGCATCATGTAATGTATAGATACTGAATGATATACTAGTGTCTGATATAACAAAATTGATCAGTCATGACTATGTAAAAAAAAAGGGTTGAGGTTTTACCAAGCCTGTTATTTTACTCTTGACTAGCCTGATAAATTTTATGTTATAAGACACTTGCTTGGTATTTTATTATACCCCCACCACAAAATGTGGGGGGGGGGTCTATAATGGATTCGTTTTGTCGCGTCAAATATCAAACGATATAATATTAGACAGTATGGCATGTCCGCTCTGTAAGTTCTACACTAATTAAAAGATTTTCTTCAATCGTGGCTCAAATGTTCCCCTCAACAAGAGGGTGTGCAGAACCCATGTCACCCTTTTGCCGGGTAAAGGTCAAGCTCACACTTTAAGGTCAAAAATTGACTTAGAAAATATTCTTAAGTTTTAACATGTATTTGAATATTTTTGTAACTAGAAAAGTGTCTATATAAAGGGTCACAATTTAGATATGTTGGTCAAGTTTCATAAATCTGTATATCCCTTTAACAAAGTTATAAGTCTTCAAATTTACATAGTCAAATATGTTGTGTCCGCTCTATCAATCCTATACTCAAATGTTCACCTTAACAAGGTTATGTGCAGAATCCATGTTACCTTTGTGCCGGCTAAATGTCAATGTCACACTTGAAGGTCAAAAATTAACTTAGAAAATCTTTAGTATTTTGGGAAAATGAAATGTTATTTGTAACTGTTTCGAACATGATTTGACAATATATATTTATACTATTAAAAGTACAATTTGACTTTTTTTCACCAGAGATAATTTATTTTTATGTATATGTATTTGTGCCACTAAAGTCGTTCCCTTAACCACCTCTCCAAGTCGTCTTCTGTCAAGGAGATTGGTGGGGGTATGAATCGCATTCAGCGAGAGTTCTAGTTTATCATGTTTTCAATTTTAGTATGCATTTCTTTCTTTAATTTTTAAATGAATAAAAAAATGTCAAGAATTTGCCAAGGATCATATTTTAGAAATAAACACAATTTAATTTAAGGGAGCATTCAATATATACCAGGACGAAAAAGAAACGCCGGGTACATAAAATATGCAACACATATTTTATTGCTTGTCTTAAAATAATGAAAATCGGTCAGATTTATATAATGCCCCATGTCGCCAGAGTTTGCCAGCAATTTCTTGCCAACAGTAACATACACCCACTCGATTGGCCAGCATTCAGTCCAGATTTGTCCCCAATTGAACATTTGTGGGACGAACTGGATAGGAGGGTAAGGAGACGTCCAAATGCCCCCACTAATCATGTCCAGCTCACACATGCCTTGCATGAAGAATGGAATAACATCCCCATGGCCATGATTAACACCCTGGTGAATTCCATGCATAGACGGATCAGGGCTGCCACAGCTGCGCATGGAGGACACACAAGATACTGATATGTCCGGCCGTGTTTCGCAAAACAAGAAGGGTCATCGTTAAAAGGGGGTATTTTTTCACATAATCAGCATCGGAAATCGATTGAAACTTCAACAGCTGGTTCCATACAGATGACATTTCATACAAAAATGAATATAATAATCCAATAATACAATTTATCCCTTAAAACAATCATTATAGGTTACCCGGCGTTTCTTTTTCGTCCTAGTATACAAAAAATAAATTGGTTTTTAAGTTTATCAGTTTAAAGGGACTCACCCTACTGAGGTTTTTTGACATGATGGGACTGAAATTATTTTTTCCAGATAAATGTACCATTTGATGTAGGTTTAGACCACAAATCTTAGTGCAAAATTCGCACACGTCCTTATTCAAGAATAATTATTCAAATTGTAATCAAAATGACCCAAAATGAAAAGCATTTAAACACTTTTTACACAAATTTGGCTAAGAAAAGCATAAAAATACAATTTTCAATTTATTTTGAAGTTTATTTATTTACTATATTGGCAAAAATTTCTGTCTGTTAAGAGTCCCGCAGCACAATTATGTAAGAAATTAAAATGTTAAAAAGTAAAATCTGATAAACATAATGGTGAATGAAAAATCTTAATTTAAAAGGCAACGCACTGTTTTAACAAGCATCAATGTAATGATATGATAAATCAGTATTTAAACCAAACAATGCATAAAAATATCATTATTTCAGACTATCAATGAATACAATACAGCTACATGTATGATATGAACTTTTTAGACTCTGATAATTAAAAGGAGAAGTAAGTCCAATATGTATATAATATGAAATTTTTAGTACTCTGCAATAGGAAATGATTTAAAATTGGTAAGATTATACCCAATAATGATTTGAATTGGTAAATAGAGCAGTCCAATTGCTGGAAATTTATTAGTTAGATTTTATAAGATGTGAAATAATATAATTTTATTAGAATTTGGTCATTAATAGAGGATATTGAATGAGTGTAATTTCAATACTGAATTTATTGCGCGAGTTGAATAAAATTATATTATGCGAGCCTCTGGCGAGCATAATATTTTTTTATTCAACGAGTGCAATAAATTCAGTATTGAACTTACACGAATTTAATGTTCTACATGTTCTGTTTATCACATACCCAAAAACAAACCTTTTAAGTAAAATAAAAGTCATTTTTCATCGACGCGCCTATAGTATACATGAACATTTAGCGCGTCTTTACACTATGTTTGTATAACGCTTATGACGTCACGTCAAAATATATGCACGGCCGTGCAATACCATATTTACGGAGTGGCAAAATCAGCAAGGGTGTG